CTGGTAATCCTGGAACAGCTGGAGAGAATGGTGAAGACGGTGCATCAGGAGGACCAGGATTACCGGGAGATGATGCTGCTTATTGTCATTGTCCACCTAGGAGCAATGGCCTTGCTGTGGAGGAAAGTGAAAAGAAGATCACTGGATATAGTAGAAGACGTTTTCATTAACATCTTCTAGACTTCTATGTATTCACTTGAACATTAAATAAATATCTATTCAAAAGTATTATTTAAAATTGGATATAAGTCAAGAGCACAAATACTTTTGGGACGTGACCCCATATGCACAAGTCTTTGTTTATTTACAAGCACCTGATATTGACAAACAAAGATGCGGGTACCAAAAAAAAGATTTCAAAAATGCAAACTGTGAAACAAAAAATAGTTATCTTATCTCGTAGCGTAACAAAACCCTCTAGAATACCAGTAAAGAGAAGACGAGGAACGAAAATATACAATTTTTGAACAAGGTGAAAAATTTTTGGCAAGTTCTTTCTTCAGATCCATGCAATCTCAAGTGGCAGTGAAACAATCCGCTATATAGTTTTCCGGAAAAAACCATATTCTGCTTCTTCACCAATCTGCCATATCTATTCGATTGTATCTTTAGCGAATTTGATGTAATAGATCCAGTAGAAAATATTAAAGATGATAAATGCCAGCGGAAAATACGATCTACTCCGCCGATCAATCATTTGGGCATACTTACGATTCTCTTCGACTCGATTCATGCTAAAAATGATAGAAAAATTTTGTACTTAACAGAGAAATTTCGAAAGATGTCTACTTACCGCTCCTCAATTGCTTTTCGCTTAGTGCCTGATAAGAAGTTGTGTCTTGAGAGTGTCGGTGGTTGATTCATTTCGCGAATTTGTTTCTTTTCCATATTTTGCTGTGTAGCTTCATTTTCGCACATAGAAACTTCATAGCAAGTTCCATTTTGATACTGAAAAATTGGGATATGTTAATTCTGATGGAAATTCATGTTGGTTTGGATCAAGCAGGGTAGGCAGCACCATCCG